GTGGCAAGGGTGAAAGAACCGTCTATGACTATATAAAGCTTAAATTCTTTACTTCTTCTGCCTCTATTCTCTTTTCTTCGATACCTCCAGCTATACAGGAGTCTTCTGTGAAGAGAGGAATTAATCTTTGGAGCTAGTTGATCTTGTGACCTTGGCTTCCTTTTTCCTCTGTGGGGCAGAGTGCAGGGAATAAGAAAGTTTTCTTTGGACTGGTTTCCTGCACTTCATTAAAAATCTTAGGTTAAAATCAGTAACATTCACATCCAGAGTGTGTAAAAGTATCTGTCCACAACTGAGATTGAGCTGTAAACCAGCCTGGTAAAAGTAGATCCTGAGCCAGGAGGCTCAATAATCTTCCAGAATTCTTAGTAGTGTAATTAGCATGAATACGTTTACTATCCATCTAAAAACCTACTTTAGGATTTGTTGTGGTTTGGCCCTTTTCTAGAGGGGGATCACAGAATCACAGAACTGAAGAAAACCCTTCAGATGACTAATTAGCCATATCTTCTTAGTAACATGATCTCTGACATATGTTTGTCAAACCTACCCTTAAAGTTATTTGGTAAGGGAGATACCCCACCTATACCCATACAATTATTTCCAGTTCATGATTTTTTTATTCTATTAGAGATGGGAGGCTTCTTAAAGGATAATCTTAATCTCTTTACTTCAAGTGAAGAATGTGAATTCCTATTCTATTCTCCACAACAATTTCCTTCTTTCTTCTTCAAACACTCTCTTAGATATATAAAGACAAATATGTTCCTCACACAGGTGCTCTCTTTCTCAGCCTAAGCCAGCTCAAAATGCCTGCCTTAGGCCATTTGTGTATTGCTTGTCTTTTAGAGTGAGGACTAAAAAAATAACTTTTTCTATAACTAAAGTGTGGCTTGACATTAGAATTGAAACACATCATCAGATAGGCACACTCAGACTGATTTTAACTCACCTAGACCAGGCCCTGTTGTTGATGTAACCATGAAAGAAATTAAAAATATCTGATCAGAGAGGAAGATATTCCACAAACTCAGAGAAATACATGGTTGCCAAACTTTAGTGTAGCTGTTTTGAAGCTAGCTCAGGTGTGGTTGCGTGAATTCTGATCACAGCAAAAAAGCTGAATGTACTTAGTCATGGATGACCAACTGTCACCCAAATAGAGAAGGCAGGATTCAGTTGCTTAATGCCATTTGATGTTAGAAGGAACAGAGATCTATACAGGACTGGAAAATGTGTCAGAAGACCTTTCAGCAGCTGGTAGCTAGATCTGTGAGTGTTTCAGCTGGTATTTGAAGTGGTACAGAGTGCTTATATCTTGGCAACTGAATTTCATTCAGACTGTTGATAGTTTGATTCACCTCGTCCAAAAGAGTATAACTGAAATGGAGCAAATTAATTTGGCACTGTAAGTGCCTATTTCTTTCAAGTGGTACAAAAGGGACCTAGGCAACATCTCAGATAAAAATGTCTGAAGCTGGGTAGAATGAATTCCACTCAGATACTTCTGCAAGACTAGCACATGTTGTAGGGATATCCACACCATCTTACTATAAACTATCTGAGGTTGTAGAAGCCAGCTAGATCCCATAACAGAGAGCTCTGAATGGGCATGCTTATTTAGATTTCTTATCTGTTCAGGGAGCCAAATTAGTTTATATACTATTCTACTGGACACTAATTGATAACTAGGTATCTTTCTCCATGAACGGTCCTGCACTATATGTAAAAATATGAGTCCTGTGTATCTGAAGTCCTTTTCCCGTGTCCTCTGTTGGTGCAGTAGCACCAGATGTCAAGGTCATGAGAACAATTCAACAGCTACTTTGGTTTCTCCTCACGAAGTCACGGGTTGTGCTGGAGCTCACTGCAAGTTAATTAGTGATGCTGCTGTCTTGGTTTATTCCACTTGCCCTGCCATAAAGCACTCTGGTCCTAGAGGCATTATTTTTTCCCTCATGCTTTGCAAAGTAATTAAAGGGAACAAGTTAGTGATATGTCTACTCCATCTGCCTGGTTTGATTAACCCCTTCAGTGCCACATGTTACGTGAAGAAGAGAGAGGATTTCAGGGGTCACAAGTCAGTTCCAGCTTTTGTTACAATAAAAACACCTAGACCCATTGCAATAGCAACACATAAATAGAGAATATGGTAAAAAATACCCAGAAAGTTTGAGCCACTGGACTGCTAACTTTTGTACTGCTCAACCTTATATGATTAAATGTCAATTAATTGTTTTGCATGGTAGATCAATGCTTATGATAATACCATTGTCCATCCCATGCTTGGAAGATGTATAAAGAATTTTATGATGTAGTGGGTAGTGTTGATAGACTGGCTAATTAGTATCATTATGAGTGAGTGATACTCTAGAACCAGCTCAAATTGCAACAAAGAGCATGAGATATGTTCATGTGAAATGGAGAGCAATGGGAGCCAACAGTGTGATTTTCTTGCTTGCTTCCCAACACTTACCAGGTTGCCAATAGTGTTATCAGTTATCAGCTGGGGATAGGTGGGAAAAATCAGTGCAAAGCCATTTACCTGAGTATACCATGCTGGAAAGGTTGTTTCAGGTAGTCAAACACTGTGGGTTTCAGAGCCCAGGTCAATCCGTTCTCAGAAAAAGATATTTTGCTGTGGCTATACAGGAAAGTCTCTTCATCATTCTATAATAGGCATTCTACGGGAAGGTGGTAGGAGTGAAACTAAGCTTTTCTTTCTTTGGAAAGAAAAGCATGGGATTCATTTTTCTTACATTGGAAAAGTGAGAGAGTTGACCTCTTCCAAGGCCAGATTGAAATTCAACTTGTCTTTAGAAAACAAAAAGAATAACAACAAACACTCTTACTGGAGCTGTGTCCTGTGAAATTGAAAAATGTAATCAGTCACAGCTGGTCTCCAATAATTTCATGCCACAGGGCTCTGGGAGCCTTTATATAGTAATTAAAAAAAGCTTAGGTTGAATTAGTACTGGTTAAAAGATAGGTTGCTTCAAGGGAAAAAAAAAATTGCCATGCAAGTTCATGTCTGCAAAGAGCTATTCAAAAAGAAGAGGGAAGGTGTTGATTTCTGCCTGAACTGCCTCCAGCAGTTGCTAAACATATTTGCTTCAGCCCACCTGGCAAGTCACAACATTAGCAACTGCCTTCTGTCTGACCTGCCAGACCTGACCCCCCAGCTGAGCAGGAATGTGAACCCAATGGAAACACTGAGAACGGCTCAGGCAATGGGAGCATTGACCTGCGTCCTGGGGTCTCGTCCTTGCTTGCGTGACATTTACGTCTTTCATGTTAAAACAGCCACTGCAAATCTCACCCTTGTTAATACTATTAACCAGTTGACCCTGTCTTGCGCTTAGCACAGGGAAGCAAAGCTACAGAAAAAGCAACACCAGCAAGCTCTTAACGTTGCTTCAAACTGATGCGTTAGGAGTTTTTAAAGGGCAATGTCAGAGAAGGTTACATTTTCTGGCAGGTCAAAAGTTAGTCCCAGGCAAAAGGAATGAAGTGTGAATGAGTGTAAGCAAACTGCACAAGGTCTTGCCAAAAGCAGGTGTCATCTCAGTTAGCTCTTGCTGTTGATAATGTAGATGTCTCCAGCTGAATTATCCCTCTCCTAACAATCAGTGTTGAGCAATAGGCATTTTGGGGTATCTTGCAGAAGCCCCGTGATTTGTTCAGCTTTGGTCCCTGGTATACAAAAGAGATGTGGACAGGCTGGTGGAGGTCCAGAGAAGGGCCACAAAGATGATCCAAGGACTGGGAAGCCATATGAGGAAATGCTGAGAGAGCTGGGTTTGTTCAATCTACAGAAATGAAGGCTCAGGGGGAGACCTAATAACTCTACCACTACCTTAAAGGAGGTTATAATGATGTGGGGTTCAGTCTCTTCTCCCAATTAACAAGTGATAGGGCAAGAGGAAATGGCCACAAGCTATGCCAGGGGAGGGTTAGATTCAATATTAGGAAAAATTTCTTCTCCAAAAGTGTTGTCAAGCACTGGAACAAACTGGCCAAAGAAGCGCTGGAATCACCATCCCGTGATGTTATTTTATAAATAGGTAGAAGTGACGCTTAGGAACATGGTTTAGTGGTGGACTTGCAGTGTTGATTAACAGTTGGACTCGATGATTTTAAGGGTCTTTTCTGACATAAGCAACTCTATGAGTCTACAAAAATGGAGGGAAGGTCCTCTGAAGCCATGCTCAATGCATAGCAGCATAGCTATGGTGAACAGAAGAAGGTTCGGATATATTTGTTTAGCATCTGACTTATCATATGCATTAAGTCTACCAAAGAGTCATCGTGGGGGTGCAGACATGTCTTTTGAAGACAGATCCCTCAAATGGCTGATCACGGAAGTGCCTGGTACAGACATAGTATACTCAATGGAAATGGAGGAATTACTCGATATTTGCAAAATTCTCATGCAAAGGGTAATTTTCAAAGGCTATATTTCTGCCAAATATGTGTGAATTTTATTTTAGAAAGGCACATGACTCCAAATTCCGATTTTTCCTTTTTCGTTTTTTTATTTTTTAACTTGGGCAAAGCAAAATATTTTCCCTTACCTTATTTGTGGAAACTGCTGGATCTTGTTAACTTTTTTTTATTTAAATAAAGAAGCTAAACCCCTTCATAGTATCTTTCTGCACAGACAATTCAGTGTCAGCATCAGCATTAAGAAATTAGTTGTTTACATTAAAAGGGTCATGAAGCCTTATCTATATTGGGACTATGCCTATGCAGGCAAAAATTTTAATGAAAGAGGAGGACTAATTACCATGCAACTATACATCTATGCCCCTGACCACTACAGTGTGCCTCCTGTTTCCACTGATGGCAGCCCTGTGTTTTCTTTCATCCAGCCAACAACAGCTTCTCGCAGTCTGAGTGACTCAACCCTTCCCTGTCCCAGTCTGTCACCTACTGAAAGCCAATGAAAAGAAAGGCTTCCTTAAACCTGCCCCAGCAGTGCTGCTGTGTAGAATACTTACCTTTTTCTTTCAGGATTTGTCACCAAAACCATGTACATTTTTGTACTGTTTCTTTCTGTACCAATGTCCATGTGACAACCAATGTCACCACTCTTCAGACCTTCTTCATTCTTGCACTGCAAAGCACCCTGTTACAGGGACACTGTATCCTGGTTGTTGTATGAAAGAAGATACACATAGATACACTTAATGGATTTTTTCAAACCTGTCTTTTGGCAGAAGAATCAACCTGAGGGAAAGATGCCCTGGCTGGGTCTTCCTAGGTGACTCACTGCTTGTTTGCACCACTGCTCTGTGACTTCTTCCCCACCATATCACCCTCCCCAGGTGCAAGACCCACCTAACAGAGAACTGCTGGAGCTGACAAGCTGATTCTGGATGATGTGGTTGTTGAGCAGTATCAGCTTTGACCTCTGCATGTGAGGAAGCAAGATGAAGTTTCAAGTGGTTGGCTCATTCTTGTGTTCAGGGCATGCAGTTAAGAGTATGCAGATATCAAACGGGAGAGTTAATAAGGTACCACCATAAGGTGTTACAGATTACAGATGAGCAGTGATATATGCAGATGGCTCACCCTAACACTACAAACAGGAAAAAGAAACAGGGGGGAGGTTTAACTGAATTGGTGAAAAAGAAGGAATTTAACAGCAGAACAATACAATAAATATTAATTAATATAAAAGTAACAAAGCCAGAAGCAATGGGGAAGATGCAAAGGAGTTCTGTTCATATATGAAGGCTTCGAGAATATAAAGGGGGACACTTCAGAAAAGAAAAAAGGGGAAAAGGGAATGTAGCATGAAGCAAATCATGGGAAAAGGGCTGTTCAGCAGCCCCTTTACAGCAGGAATTCTGTGCCTGATCAGTGCAGGAACTATAAATTCACTTTTTCCACTGTATTTCTGCTTGAACTGTTTCTGTGATTAGGAGACACCTAGATTGGTTTAACCTGCCATCAACAAGATAGTGGAGAGTTGTCTTTTTCCGTGGATAGGGTAATAGTGCATTTTCCACCTACCGGCATTACCTCTTCCTCTCCCTGAACAATGTAAAGACTTAGTATGGCTGCTTTGTCACCCAAAGGATGAGAAAGCAAATTTCAGCCCTCTCTCAACCTGCTGGTCATGCTGCTGGAGATGCAGGCCACTATATGGTTGGCTTTCTGGGCTTCAAGAGCACACTGCCCTGTCTTGTTGACTTTCTGGTCAACCAACACCCCCAAGTACTCTGCAGGGCTGCTCTTCCCTTTCATAAATCCAGGCGTTCAAGAGGTCTGTCTGAAGCAGTTGTTGTACCTACCAGCTCCAGCCATAGGCCAGGTTTCAATTGTTTGATGGGGTTTATGTAATACTAAAGCATGGCTCCTGCCCAAGGACCTCATAATGACAAAGACCTCACTGATAAGTTCTATTTAGAGATTTACAGAAAGAATGCTCAAAAGACTATAGGCTCACTACAGCCCTCACCGATTCACAATCAAAAAGATAAATCACTTAAAACTTCATTAAAATTATGTAATAATTTGATATATCAGACTCTGAATTTACCATATGTTCTTGGAGAATAACAGGTAGCTCCTGAAAATGCGTCAGCCCCTTAGAGATCTGACTTACACCATTGATACTTTTAGCCAGTAACTGGGAAGAGTCTTGATTGTGTAAGATCCTAATTTAGGTATCTCATTTTAGTGCCCACAGCCAAACGGATGACTCTAGGGTTTCATGTATGACAAATGAAAGAAAGCCTTGCAATAAAGACTCTGTTCTTAATAGGCAAGTCAAAAAAGAGGCTGAGTTAAATAATAGAGTTAGTGTTTGCATCATGCAGAACTGGACTTAGTGGCCGTTCATGTCAGATCCTTTTGGCTTTAAGCTATTTGGATTGTTGGCATGTTTTCTTCACAGCAGTGAAGGGAGGCCCAGAGAAATTAAACCACTTGCCTTCATTCATGTGGGGAGTCTGTGGACAAACTGAAGAACAAGAACAGATCTCCTGGGGACTTGTCTAATGGCTTAACCATGAGATCCTCATTCCTTCCATGCTGTGACTGCTCGCCTTCCAGCTGTCTTGCACACTCAGGGTCGAGGAGGGTTGAATACATTTGGATAGCATACGGCACAAGCTGAATTCCTGCCAAGTGTTTAGCCTAAACTTGTGATGTTCTCTTTTGAAGTTTTAAATGGAGTAAACTTTTCTCTGCTTTTAAAAGTCAATTTAGTTTTAGTCTTCTCTATGATGCTGGTCTTCCTGGTTCCAATCAGATGTTAGTGTGGAAATTATTAGAATCTTCAACACTATTCTTGTATGATATCTAGTCAGACTACAACAAAACTTTGTACCTTTTGCTCCATCCTTCTCTCTCCTTCTTTCTTCTTTTCCCTCCCTCCTTGTCTCCCTCCTGAGCATATTAATCTACGAGTCTCCTCCAGTTATGCCAAAGAGAATACAGGTGAAAGGATCAAATATTTTTGAAGAACACATTTAGTGGATTTTGCAAAAACATGGAGCACAAAAATATGTAGCTTTCTTCTTGGAAATCTAGAAATTCTGCCTATATAGGAATATTTACTTAGAGATCAAAAATACATGAACCAACTGATGCCAAGCTATTAATTACTTCAGTTCTTTCATATATCTCTCCTATTGACCTCTGCTGCATTGTGTAATGTCCACAAGAACATCCTCACTAGATAGAGCAGACACTATTTCTCTCCCCCACACACTTTAAAAGCAAGGGAGAGAAGAAAAGGAACGACCATGTGGCCCTCCATTCTCTGTTCAGTGATCTTTAAGGGTTTTCCTAGGTTTGCCTGTAAATTTGGATAGTTTTCATGTATGGGACATCCTGAATAGGTCTGGGACTTCCAGTTCATTCAATTCCTTGTACCAGTACAGGCTGGCAGCCATCTGGGAAAGATGGATTGCAGGAAAAGACTTGGGTGTCCTGAAGGACACCAACTTGGACTGTGTCAATAAAAGTATGGCTAGGAGATCAAGGGAGGGCATTCTTCCCCTCTACTCTGCCCTGGTGACACCCCACCAGGTCTGTTGGGGTGTGTCCAGTTCTGGGGTCTCCAGTATAAGAAAGACATGGACCTGCTTGTGTAAGTCCATAGGAGGACATGAAGATGCTTTGAGGGCTGGAGCACCTCTCCTACGGATAGAGGCTGAGAGAGCTGGGTTTGCTCATCCTGGAGAAGAGAAGGCTCTGGGGAGACCTTAGAGCAGCTTCCAGGACCTAAAGAGGCCAACAATAAAGCTGGAGAAGGACTTTTGACAAGGGCAAGTAGGGATAGGACAGTGTCTGTTCTGAGTCAAAGTGAGGGATCTGCTCAGACAGCTGGGGCAGCTTGTTCCAAAAATATCTACTCTTGTCTTCTCATGTCTCCTTTTTTCCTATCTCTCTGTCCTGGTGGGACTTCTTCCCATAGCAGGGCTGCCCAACTTCATCTCCTGACAAAGTGAAAGTCCCCTTTCCCTATGCTTTCAGGGAATTCTGGGTACAGCAGATATACATGAAAGGACATTTAGGTGGAAGATAATGTCAGCTTTGCTGTCCTACCCTCATATGGAGTCTCAAAATGATACTTTGGCTTAGCAGTGGGCTGTGGAGGTGAGCCCAAGGGAGAATAAAGGAAACCTTGAGAAAAGACAGTGGCATGATTATGGTTCAACTAAATCCAGTTTTAATTTCCTCAAAGTAGATGTCCTAATTTGCAAATTACCGTCCTGTGATAGAGATCCTGTGTCCCACACGTAGTTAAAATATAAACAAGTCTCTTAGGATCAGGTGGCAGCTTATTAAAAGTAGCAAACCACATGCACTTCTTTTCTTGCATTCATGGTTTGGGTTGAACTCCTCTGGTTTTGGTTTGTACTAAAAACCTTGGCCTTTCTAAAAAAAGAGGCTCCTACAGCGTCTAAGCTGAGCTTTTTATTTTGGGGTTGTTTTTTTTGTTTGTTTTTTTTGTTTTTTTCCCTACAACTGGAAGGAGCATTGCCTCCTGTTTGGGTGGTCAAATATAGTTTGTGCACCTTGGAAGCAACCAAGGGTTGTTATTTTTTCATCTATCTTTCATAATAGCTGAAATCTCCCAAGAACTCCCTTAGTGCTGAATTCACAGGCTGTCTGGAATTTAATTGTGGGGTCAACATGGAACATTCTTCCTGGAAAAAGAGATGATGAGGTGGAGTAGTAAAGATGGTTAACCAGAAAAGCAAACAAAATCAGCCATAGACATTTATTAGCATTTAAAATAGAGTCTTGTCAAGCAATGTGTGTGAGTGTGTGAGTGTATGTGTTAGGGGAGTAGGGAATTTTCATAACTGGGTGCTTGAGGGAGAGAATAACAGCCATTCAGGGTGGGCAAACAAGGCCAGGATGTACCCTGTAATTTTCGTAACGAGAAAATTTGGAGCAGGAGGCTTGGCATCTGAGGTAAATTCAATGTGACAGTCTGCCAAGGAAATAGAGTTGCTACATTAAGCATGGTTTAGCATGGCTAAGGTATCCCTTATCTAGTGAAAGAAATGTAGATTATGCGGTATGAAAAAGCTTGTTCTATTTTCTCTCCTCACAAACACTTGTAACGATACTACGGTCATTAATAGATCTCTACCTGTATCTATTTCCCTATATAAGATCTTGGCAAAATAACTGACTCTAAAATCCATGTACACAGAAATACACACACACATACTAGGAACTACAGTTTTCTATGAAACAGAAAATTGAAGTAAAAATTCAAGTTTGCACTGAAAAAACAGTAATGTTCAAAGATTTCAGCCAAATGACATAACATTTTTTGGTGGATGTGCTTGTTTTCAGAACCAGACCTCAATGTAATTTTGACTAAATTGGGCTGCTGTCTTGCAAGAGGAGGTAAAGGTGCAGCAATCATGAAACTCTTCCATGGTTTCGATTCAATCTGCATCTTCTATGAAGATATCATCTGCCCTAGTGCAGGGCTGGAGGAGAAAGACTAAGTAATGATGTGTTGAGAAGCAGAATCCTGAGATGGACATGGGAGATGAAGAGGGACAAAGTGGTTGCTTACCCCTAGGAACACTATCCAAGAAGCCAGGGAAAGCACCATTTTTACGTGTGTATTCAGCAGGATTTTGAGAATGTACATGTCTTTCCTAATGCCGTACAAGTTAGCTGTAACTTCCTTCTTTTCCAGATGAAGTT